TCTTCATAATCTACCGCAGTGAAAGCACTCAGCTCCCACTAGACCTAATACAACACAAAGCATTCTCCCTTCCTATCCAGCTAGGAGTAGATAAGTGCAGATTTGTTCCCAGAGAGCACTGCTGAGACTCGTCTGTTATTTCTCTAATTTCTAAAGCAATGGCCTTCAAATATTTCTTATTTAGCATGCTATAAACAATGTAGGCAACCTTTACATGTATAAATGATATACATCCACTTTTGTACTAATATGTATATTCTTAAACAAAACTAAAATTAAAAATATGAGAAAAGGATAAAAAATAAGAATTTGTCTTAAGAACAAATTATATTAACATTTATAAAACTTTTTTCTTCAAAAATTGTACATATTTAATAAAGCAATATAATTATGCTTTTAAAAATTTTATAAAAGTATAGTTGTCATACAATATTATTAGTTTCAGGTGTGCAACATACTGATCACCATGATAAGTCTAGTAACAGAGTGTATAGCGTTTTTACAATATTATTGACTATGTTCCCTGTTCTGTACATTACATGCTGGTGGCTTATTTTATAAGTGGAAGTGTGTACCTCTTCAACCCCCATCCGACAACCATCGATTTGTTCTCTGTATGAGTCTGTCTGTTTTGTTTGTTCTTTTATTTATTTTTTTTAGATTTCACATAAAAGTAAAATAATACTGTCTTTGTATGACTTATTTCACTTAGCATTAATATCCCCTAAGTTCATCCATGTTGTCACAAACGGCAAGACTTCATTCTGTTTTACTGCTGAGTAATATTCCATTGTATACACATATACTATCTTCTTTATCCAATTGTCTATCAACAAAAACCTAGGTTGCTTCCATACCTTGGCTACTGAAAATAGGGCTTCATATATCTCTGATTGTTTTTTGTTTTCTCTGGATAAATACCCAGAAATATGGCAGTTCTATTTTAAAGTTTCTGAGGAATCTCCATATTGTTTTTCATACTGGCTGCACCAATTTACAACAGTTCATGAGAATTCCCCTTTCTCCACATTCTCACCAACACTTATTTGTTGATTTATTGGTGATAGTTATTTTGATAGGTGTCAGGTTATATCTCATTGTGGTTTTGATTTGCATTTCCCTGACGGTTGTGATTATGAGCATCTTTTCATAAGTCTAGTGGACAGCTGTATGTCCTCTTTGGAGAAATGTCTATTTAGGTCCTCTACCCTTTGTTTAATTGATTCTTTGGAGTTTTGTTTTGTTTTTCTTTTTGGAGGGGGGGCAGTTTGGCTATTGACTTATATGAGTTCCTTGCATACTAACCTCTTATCAGCTATATATCACTTGCAAATATCTTGTCTCTCATTCAGGCTGTCTTCATTTTGTTGATGGTATGCTTTATTATTTTTTAAAACCATGTGATTTGAAGGTTTGGTTTTAACTTTACTTCTTAATATTCTATTTTCTTTCTTTCTTTCTTTTTTTTTTTTTTATAGTACTTATCACCATCAGCAAGGATTTTGTTTTGTTCAATGTTCTAGCCCCAGCATACAGAATAGTGTTTGGGCTATAGTATGTTCTTAATAAATACAAATTTTTAAAATTATAGTAATTCTTTTTGAATATGATACCATTCCTCCTCTACCTTGTGTTCAATGATCTCATATAAGTGTCTTGAAATTAGCCAACATGTGACTATTTACACCATAGAAATTGGCAAAGCTATAAATCAGGACTTGAATTGTTTTTTTCCTGACTCTCTAGAGCTATACAAGTGACAAAATGTTAACACTGGATTAAGCTTAAAAGTGTACATGGTATAATACAAAAATACTGAATAAATAATATTCCTGTATTTAAAAACCTATTATCATTTTCAGCAGTCACATATCATTGAAAAATGAGTGAAATTTCAACAACGTGTCTTCATGATTTCACTTTCACCTTACTTATTCCTGCACAGGAAAATATCAACCAACAGTCTTATCAGAGCTGCACTCAGAAAGCTGGTTACTCCTCAGTAACCTGCACAACACTGCCCCAGCCCATGTGAGCCTCCAAATCTGGTCCCGGCTGCCTCCCTGCCAAACACTCTCTTTGGCATCTAAGGTCTAGTCACCCTGATCTTTGTTGAGACCCCCAAAACATGAAGATTTCCTACCTCAAGGTCTTTACCCTTGTCCTTTGGTCAGGAATTTCTTCCCATACTGACTCCTCATCATCATCCAGGTCTCAGATCAAATGTCACACGGAGAGAGAATCTAAAGCAGTGATCGCCAACCGGGGGTCTGTGGGCCACTGGTGGTCTGCGAGGTCCAAAAGGTTGGTGACTGCTGCTCTAAAGTACTACTTCTTCCTAGACCCTGCCCTCATTCTCCTATTTTATTGGCGCCATTTTACTTTCTGCTACCTGAGGTATTTATTAATTTACTCGTCCAATGGCTGCCTCCTGTCCCTCCGAGGTTCGCTAGAGCAATACCTTTATCTACCTGTTCCCAGTGTAGCCTTTGCACTTGGAATGGTACCTATTATAAATAGGGACTAAATAGTTGCTGAGAGACCAATGAGAGACTACTGTGTCAGGTAACGATCCCAGGCTTTTCACTACTACCACTTTCCCTTAAGAACAGCCAATAGATAGGGAACTTTTTTGGAACCGAGATGGCTAAGGAAGCTGTGAGAAAATGCCAGTGAGGAGAAATCACACCGCAGTTTTGGGCACTGCTGCCCAGAGCATCCCTTCTTCCCCTTTCTCGCCCTTTCCTTCTCCTGTGCTCTCAGACTCAGACTGGAGAGACACGTGTAAAGCAACAGTTCTCAAAACAAAGAGAGAGGTTGAGATCAAACCTGTGAGGTTGTGAGGTTTAGGAAGCAAAGGGTAAGATGGTAGGGCACCGGTCGTTGGATGAAATCACGTTTTACAGAAGTAAAATGGTGACCCTGAGCACTAGTCATGCACGCAGATGACGAAAATACTAGCACTAAGTAAGTCCACGAGGAAACTCCTCTCTCCAGAAGCAAAGACAGATTAATCTGCGATCTTGAAAACACTTAAAAGATTTGATCATTTTCATCCCCATTCACTGTATAACCTGCATCAAACACCACAGAGATGTCAATCACGTGAAGGTAGCTGCATTGGCCGACGTGTTTCTCTCTCACAGGGACCGCTGTGTGGATTAGGTGATTCAGTTGTGGTTGTATTTACTCCCCAGGGCATTAGTTCGTCTCTAGTTAAATCCTGAGGGTAAAATGTACTACAGTCCAGGGTCTACATGGAGTATGACTCCTTGGACCATCCACACAGAAGAAACATTCCTGCCGTTGGAGAGTATTTCCACATGATCTGGCCATGCCCCAATATGAGGCTAATCTGAGGAAGACGGAGCAGGAACCCTGAAATGATGACAATTACGGTACTGACCATCTCTGCTCTGCACCGTCCTAAGTTTAGGTGCATTGCTGCTAATAGTATTCGTGATGGCTTACATTAACACGTATTAACTCCTTTAATCCTGATAACAACTCTGTGAGGGAGGTTCTGTCATTATTCTCATTTTACAGTTGAGCAGAGACCCAGAAGGATTTAATCATTGATCTTAACTCATGTAGTTGATCACAGGTCAGGATTCAAATCTGAAAGGTTTGGCTCCAGAATCTATGCATTTAAGCCACTCTGCAAAGCCAGACATCCCTGTGAATATCCTTGTTTTACCGGTAGGGAAACTGAGCCTCAGATGGATTAAGAAACTTGTTCATAGTCATACAACTAGCATCTGGTGGGGCAAACATTTGAACCAAGTCAGCTGGATCTCACAGCCTTTTCACCACAGGTTCACTGTGAGTTCAACCCTGAGACTTTAGACAGCTAGCTCGGAAGGGAAACAATTGATGGTTTACAAACAGTCCCACCCTTAGGACTGCTGATTCACGCAGCCCTTGTTTCTTTATAGTACAGCATCAGAGTAAAGGGATTGAGGTTTGAGTGTGAATTTGCCTATTTCACTTGATTCTAAAACAGAGGTGAGAACAGTGTTTTCATGGGGGTGAAAACACTTAGCACAGTATCTGGCACAGAGTAAGGGCTTAATACATTATCATCTTAGATGGTTGCCAAAAGCAACTCTGACCAAAACTTGTAAATAAACTGAATCTTGCAGCCCTATATAAATATCCTTTTAAAATATGTCAAATCAAATCTCATGTTAAAATTTGCATAGGAAATTCTGTATCTGATAGGTTAATACGTTCTTAGGCAAAAACATCATGAGCCGAAACCAGTTTGGCTCAGTGGATAGAGCATCAGCATATGGACTGAAATGTCCGGGGTTCGATTCCGGTCAAGGGCATGTACCTTGGCTGCAGGCACATCTCCAGTGGGGGGTGTGCAAGAGGCAGCTGATCGATGATTCTCTCTCATCAATGTTTCTAACTTTCTATCCCTCTCTCTTACTCTCTGTAAAAAATCAATAAAATATATTAAAAAAATAAATAAAAAGATCATGAGACACTTTGCAGTCCCTGAAATGTAGCAAGTAAGTAAAATACATCAATGTTAATTCAAAATGTAAAGACCTGCAAGACAAATCTATTTTAAAAATCACAAGAAAACAGAAATAGAAATATAAAATCAAGAGCCACATGTCATAAAAATTAAAACTATACCTGGAACATCTTAATTAATCAAATCAGGCTCTTGTAATATTGCAGTGTTGTTTTTAAGACCTAACTTTTATATTTTAAAAGTATTTTAAAAGTAACAGAAATTTATAACAAACATTTTATTTCCAGCTCTTCCCATTTGACAGCCCCCAAACTGTAATTTCAACAGCACCATTAAAATCTTGGGGCATAAAGAAAATATGTAATTACTTAATAAATTTAAAAGCTGTTTCCAAAGGTGTTTTGGGCCTAAGTCATTTGCCTAAGCCATATACCTTATTTTTTCTGAACATTAAATAATTAGGACATGAACGTCACACCCACGTCTTATATCAGCTGACACTTTACAACCATACCTTTCTTCGTGGTGTCGGGCGAGCCGTCGTGCTCTTCTTTGACTGAGACTTTACAGCTCTTTATCCGACAGAAAAAGGACCGTCTGGAGCCAGAGCACACGTGAGTCCGTCTGCTATGGAAATTACTGTGAACCTGCAAACCCGCTGGCACAGGAGGAGGAGGGGGAGGCACGAGAATAGGTAAAAAAGAATATTTTTAAGTAATTTTGAAATTTATCTCTAACCCTTTTCTGATCATCCGTGACATTTTTTATAAATAAAAAAGAGAAATGGTCATTTAAAACAGTATCACTGTTAGTCAGGAAGTAAAACATACCAAAAATGTACTTGTCAGGCAATCATATTTTTGATAACTTACAATCTTTCAACTTATTTTTATCCCCTCCCCCAAGGGGTGGAACATAAAAATCATTTTAAATGAAATTAATTTTTTTAAAAAACCACCTCAATTATAATAGTAATCAATGGCAAAGGCATCATTATTTTATATTATAAATGATTACTTGGCACTAAGCATTTTCAGAGAAGGTTAAGTATTTTCAGAGAAAATAAAGAATACCTTCAACTCCCAAGCAATATTATACATGGTGTTTCACAATGAATAGACCTAACCCATATAAGAGAATAATTCTCTGTCAGCAATAGCTGAATAGTGAAAACTTCATTTCTTGTCAAGATTCTATTAGCATACAAAAAGAATGAACATGAAGCAACCACATTTTCCTCAAGGCATCTTCATATGAATATAGTATTTATTTTTATATGAATATAGGAATTGCCTATATAATTACATTGTTTTTAAAAATTCTAACTTTTCAAGAACACTATATAGCTGTACCTTTAAGTACTAAGTATATTTACATGAAATGGTAAGCACGCTGAGATGAGCACTTACTTTTGGCATCTATTAACTTCTCTCTTGGTAAAATGTCAGAAGACAGCTGTTCCTTTACTTTGGCAACATCTTTTGGATGTAAGAAGTCAAATAAGCTCTGTCCAGTCAAACTGGCCTATACATAAAGCAGACATTCATTTAAAATCAGTACCATAGCGGCCAGGCCCGGAGCAGCGGCTGCCAGGCTGGGAGCGGCCAGGCCCGAGGGAGCAGGCGGGTCGGGTGCGGCCAGGCCCGGAGCAGCGGCTGCCAGGCTGGGAGCGGCCAGGCCCGGGGGAGCAGGCGGGGCTTGTGCGGCCAGGCCCGGAGCAGCGGCTGCCAGGCTGGGAGCGGCCAGGCCCGGGGGAGCAGGTGGGGCTGGTGCGGCCAGGCCCGGAGCAGCGGCTGCCAGGCTGGGAGCGGCCAGGCCCGGGGGAGCAGGCGGGGCTGGTGCGGCCAGGCCCGGAGCAGCGGCTGCCAGGCTGGGAGCGGCCAGGCCCGGGGGAGCAGGCGGGGCTGGTGCGGCCAGGCCCGGAGCAGCGGCTGCCAGGCTGGGAGCGGCCAGGCCCGGGGGAGCAGGCGGGTCGGGTGCGGCCAGGCCCGGAGCAGCGGCTGCCAGGCTGGGAGCGGCCAGGCCCGGGGGAGCAGGCGGGTCGGGTGCGGCCAGCCCCGGAGCAGCGGCTGCCAGGCTGGGAGTGGCCAGGCCCGGAGCAGCAGCAGCCAAGTCCAGAGCAACTAGGTCGGGAGCGGCAGTGACCAGACCCGGAGCAGCTGGTTGTGGAATGAACCAGAGCAACAGAGGCCAGGCCCTGAGCAGCCAGGCCCAGAACAGCTCGCTCCTTGCCTGCCCCTGCCCCACGGCTGCTTCTCAGACATGGCTGGAAACTTTCGTGGGAACTTGAGGGTCTGCTGAATCAAGTGATGAAGGCTTAGATCTGGATGTGTTGAGTTAGTTTAGGACTGGGGTGTTGATCTGTGAGTGCCTTGGGTGGGGCCTGGATGAGGCTGGTTGACCTAGTGGGAAATGTCTTTTGTGTGAAGTGTATCATTGGGCATGTGGAGGTATTATTGATATGAGAAAATGCTAAGTGACTGATTTACTATCTGAAAAGGGATTTACTATTGGGGAAATTGAGGGAAGAAGAGACTGAACATAAACTGCACCTATGGATGAGGACAATGGGGGATGGGGAGGGTGACGGAGGGTGGGGTGGGAACCTGGTGGAGGGGGGAAGAAATGAGGAACCTTTGTAATAATATGAACAATAAAGATTGATTTAAAAAAAAAAAAAAAAGAAAAAAAAAAAAAGAAACTCATAAAGAATGGATAACTTAGCGTAGCTCTCCTAACCACTTTTTTTTTTTTTTTTTTTTTTTTGTCCCAGCTTGTGTTAAAAGCTCCCAATATTTGGTAATACTTCTCTTTTTTGCTTTCCCTCTTTTGGAAATACTTTAAATATATATATATATATATATATATATATATATATATATATATATATATATATTGATTGATTCTCTACAGAGAGTAAGAGAGAGGAATAGAGAGCTAGAAACAGCGACCAGCTGCCTCCTGCACACCCCTTACCAGGGATGTGCCTGGAACTATTGTACATGCCCTTGACCAGAATCGAACCTGGGACCTTTCAGTCTGCAGACCGATGCTCTATCCACTGAACCAAACCGGTTTCGGCGGAAATACTTTTTGATTGCTAACAATAGTAACCTTTTCTTGGACTTAACTGAATCAAATCTATTTAGGTTTAATTCTGAATTGTCTACAAGTCAATTACTTGGCTAAAGGAAACTCTAATATGACTTCATTGTTCCAGCTAATATCAATCGGCAAAGCTGGCCCTTTAATTTTCCTGTATGTTACAAACTCAATATACTCACAATAACCTGTGTTAATATCACTCATGATAAATTTATCTGTCTTGCCCGCAAAAGGTCTCACAGACTTTCCATAGTCCTAGCGTGATCAAAGTTCAAACTCAATTCATCAAATTACCTGCCAAAACCCCAAAGAAATGCATGCCCAATGAACTGTTAAACCCATTAGGTTTGTATTATTTAGCTCAAGAATACTGAGTAAGAGTTAAGTAAAAATGTGGCCTTGGAAATATTTTAAAGTATTTAGCTTGTTGCTGCTAAGTATACACATTAGTATGTTAAAATAACTGCAAATTGTTTCCTGTAAATGTAAGGAAGTCATAATTATGTTGGTAAATTGCTCATTTTGCAAAGCATGTGAATTCAGACCATTATAGGAAGGCATTAACATAAATTAACAGAGCAATGGTTAACCATGTTTTTGTAACTGTGGTGAATTTTTAAAGGCTTGTCACAAGTTTCTGAACGAATCCTACTCACTGAATTCAGTTTCCAATACTTGAACTTCACGAAGTGCAATTGTCCGTGTAGAAATTAGGGTACGGAAGGGGTGACTAAATCAAGTCTGGTTAAGATTTTGTATTCTCAGAATGTTGACATCACTAATCAGTCCTTCTAGACTCATCTTCTCAGCCCTAGGTACTCACAAAGTACACTGAGAAATTGTAAGCCAATGATTGCAAAAACTAGCTTTGGATGATCTTATTATACTAGAAGGGCTATGCTAACTTTAAAAATTAAAAAAAAAAAAAAGAAAGCGGACATTGGAAAACTTAGTCTTATGCATACTCATTAATAATAAATATGATCATGATATCAAGAAAAAATAAAAATAAAAAATAAATAAAATCAGTACCATAATTTTCCTGTCTTTCTTCTTAGACATAATACTTTCTTTTGTTAAAGTTGTTTTTAGTTAATTTCAAAGATGCACCTACTGCCCTGTATGATAGCAACAGCGTTAAAGGCAGGGTCATACCTCTGGATAGAAAAAGAAATACATGCACAGCTAGCCATAACTGGATAAACACCAAGACCTCGCCACTGGTGCTGTTTACTCTTATTAGCTCTTGGTAACATCCCCCAATCATATATGTTACTTACAAGTCATATTATGATATATTTTAAACGTTACCCTTGGCACCCTAGCTGGTTTGGCTCAGCGGATAGAGGGTCCTGGGTTTGATTCCTGTCAAAGGCACATGCTCAGGTTGCGCGGGCTCAATCCCCAGCAGGGGGTGGGCAGGAGGCAGCCCATCAATGATTTTCTCCCATCATTGACGTTTCTATCTCTCTCTCCCTCTCCCTTCCTCTCTGAAATCAATTTTTAAAAATTATAAACTTTACCCTTGGTAAAAGTAAAGCAAGTATATCATAATATCATATGGAAGTCACAAAATGTGAATCTATGGTGTAGCTTAGATTTACCACACTGTTAAAAAAAAAATACCATACTATCAAAAGACAAAACCTAACCCGGGACACCTCCCACTTCCCATTCCACTTCTCCCATTATGCAGAGCATTCCCAGGTCTGGGCCTCTGCCCATGGTCTCATCATCTGGAATTCATTACTCCCTCCGTCTCGACATTCCCTGGCCCATCAGCCAATTGCCTTTGATTCCCTAGATTCCCTCTCTCAACCTAAAATCTCTTCCTCACCTCTCTGCACATCCTAAAGCACAGCAGACATCCTACTTTGCATGAGAAACCCTCCCTGACCTTTACTTCCCAAGTACACATTCCTTTAAAAGTCAGAACACAATGGACCAGGCAATACAAACAGCCTGGTTTGCTTGACAGTTGACACATCATATTTTAAAAAGCTAGCAATCTGATTTACACGTAGTCTATTGTGTGACTGGGTAATATAAGTCTATGCCCAGAACTCTGCTTTAGGTTTCTGAATCTGAAAAGATGGACTAGACCCTGCACTATGGGGATCCCAAAGTCCTCCTAAGCAGACACTGAGTCTCTTGAATAGTCTCTGAAATGCAAAGTTAGTGCCCCGTGGGTTGGACTCTATGTCCCTATTTGGACCTTCAGTGCCCCTTGCATTATTAATTATCCTAGCATGTGTGATGTTCTCTATTTCCAATGAGAAGTCAGAATTATCAGGCACTGCCCTGCTTCTGTGCCCCCAGCTATAATCAGCTGCATGATTCACTTGGTCCTCATTCCTCCTGAGTGCAGACTCATAATATCTTTGTTGTTGAGCTCATTATTTATGTATACCTTATCTCTTCAAATTTCCAAGTTTTGGGGGAAGACAGGCTGACATTAATAGGAGTTATTAAGACGAAATCTTTGGGTCCTGTGATTTCTAAAAGGAGACCACATGTGCTAGTTTATTCACTCTTGTTGGATTATTTTCAGTACTATCCTTTTTAGATAACTAGTTTAAGATACATGGTTTTCAGCGATGGGGACATAAAGGAGTTACACAGCTAGGTAAGCAGACAATGCATTTCAGAGTTGATTGCCAGAACTGAGATCAAAAACGGTTATGCAAATTAGTAGCAAATAATTTGGTTCTCGGAGGAAGCAGAGAAGGGTGACTTAATGTTTTTCAGACACCCAAATATGACAGCCTCTATATCCTGAGAGACAAGTATAGTCATCATTTCCACTTTTTAGGGAAGAGGAAGCTGAGGCTCAGGAAAACAAAATAAGTTGGTTAAGGTCAGAAGTGACAATCCATACTCACTCCACCCATCTGTGCATCTCTCCTGGAGCTCGTTCTAACTCAGCAGAACCTCACCCACAGCCCAAAGGAAAAAAGAGTTCAGAAAAAGAGCTCTGAAGTCTGTTTGTTAAAAAAAAAAAAACTAAACATAGTGTGGGAAATGTCCTTTTTTGCATACCTGATCATAATTAAGTATTTTGGAGACTGACTTAGAAACGAAGAGAATTTTTCCTCTTTCACAACCAACCACAAACAGGAAGCCTTCTGCAGTCTAGGATTAAAAAAATATAAAAGTCAATTTTAAAAATATCATTTGTATTTCTCTCACACAGCCTTTCTGAGGAAACTGCTGTAGCAATAAAACCAAAAGAGTGGCCATAAATGTAGTAAAATTAATTTTAAGAAATTTTCTTAAGATGTATACAAATAGATTTATAAAGAAATATCCCCTTGGACCCCTGTCTAAATTAATGTTGTTGTTTTTTTTTCACATGAGAAGTTCAGGGAATATTTAGTTAAAAATTTCATAATGTAAAAATTACCTATCCCAAATTCCACACTACTGCAAACAGAAACTCTGTAGAGATACCAATCAGTAACGGCTGCCTGTGGATGTGTGGAGGTGGAAAGAGAATAACAGCACAAGATCAAGACACTTAGCCCTGGGGACAGGATGAACCAAGGACGTAGTCATGTTTTCCATGTCAAATAGACCGGTGGATCCAAAAACCCATGCCAAAAAGTATGGTCTAACAGCTCAGTTAGTAAGCAGTGGCTGGCTAATGGGCAGAGAACAAGATCCTGAAGGAATAGCATACAAGACAGACGGCTCCGTAGGAGGTACCGGTGAGGAATAGATCCTGAGAGTTTCTAACTCTCTATCCTTCTCTCTTCCTCTCTGTAAAAAATCAATAAAAAATATATATATTTTAAAAAAAAAGACAAGCCTTGCATCATATTTTAGGAAGCGCCTCGCTTCCCTCTCTACTTTCACTAGCCCAAACCAATAAGACATGGTTACTTGTGTAAGTTAAATTTTTTACTAAAGGAAGTTTGGTGTACACAATGGACCAGGCAACCACTTCCACTGTTAGTAGACACTGTGCTCACTATGTATATGCATTATTCTTTACTCAACAATCCTATGAGACAAATGCATTATCCCTGTTTTACAGCTATGGAAGTTGAGGATTAGAAAGTTAAGAATGTAGAGTCCTGTATGTTTGCAACAGAAAGCAAACTAGAGAAAACCTGCCTCCCATTTAAGTAGAAAGGAAAGGGCAAATACAACTTAGGCAAATGTATTTCCTGACTTACCTTAAGGACTAGATGTCTGAGCTCATTATCCTGAATAAATGAAGGTCGGTAAATATCTCTTGCATAAGAATTTGTCATACCTAAAAATAAGTAGTCAAAAAGTTACTAAAAATATAGTAGGGTTGGGTTAGGTATGTAGTAGGTACTCAATGAACATTGGCAATGGCTGCCACTGGTGAGAACTTTTTCTTTCAGCGCATCCTGAGACCTTTTCTGTTATCATTCTCTTTCTTTATTACTAGATTAAAAATTCCTGCATTTAGGATGTAAATTCTTAGAACTACTATTCCTTTATAGATTCAAATGTGCAGATAGTAAGAGCATCATGTAAAAGAAAAGTTGAGTAATACATCATCTTTAACATTATAATAGGTAACAATATTTAAAAATCTAGATATTTTTATATCTTAGCTTAAAACTAATCTCATATGAACTATCTTGAATGGGGCGATTCTGGAATTCTAAACAAATGTCATAGATTCATAGGATTTTGCATATGACCCTTTAAAGATCACATGATGACTTCTGTTATTATACAGTAATATACATATATAATAAATTTCTGCTAATATAAGTAAAATAATTCCTTTTACATCCTTAGCACAGAGCTTATTGTATTAAAATGAAATTCTCTAAAGCAACTGAAGAGCTAATGAGGAATTATCAGCTCAAAACAGGAATGCTTGAGGACATCCACCAACCCTGACACAGGAAAGCCCTTCATGGCCACAAGGGGGTGCATGAGACAGTCCACCAAGCCAAGGTGTGCTGGACCCAGATAACTCTGAGCAAGGGTGATTCCCAGGTAAATCAATGCTCTCTCCTTTATACTTCCCAACCTCCTTACCCCCAACCCCCTCCTTCTGAGGACTGCAAGGAAAGTTGCTTTGCAAGAGAAATTTTAGCCATAAATTAACTCTTGAATGGATTTATAGCCCAAACTTACCAATTACCTAAGTGGTGGGAGGAAAACAAAGGCAGAAAATAAAAAACACTTCATATTATGACTTGGTAAAGTTCTCTCAGACTGGTAGCACCCCTGAGAATCTGGCATAAGCAAAAGAAAACCTTTTCTTCTGGAATATTCCTTCTAGGTAGGCCTCAAAGAATTCAGTAAGTGATTTTTTTTTTGTCACTACTGCACAGCAGCCAGAGAGCAGAGCACTGAGAAAGGGCTAAAAGGTTCAGACTTTGAGTGCTATGCTAGGATTCAGCCATAAATCAACCTGAGCAAGGCAGTGACATTTCCAGGCCTGGCCCGAAGCAGACATGTGCCAGGGAAACCCTGATGGTGTAAACCACCAGGAAGGGGCGAGCCCTGGCTAGGTGAGTGAACGAGTGAGTGAGTACGAGCTAAGGAGAAACAGAGGGAGTCAGAGCAGAGCTGGAACCAGGGTGAGGTGAGTTAATAAAACGCATGCTGTAATATGCTGTACACCTGCCAAACATGGGCAGGTAACAAATATGACCAATTTCTGATAGCAAAAACAAACAAGGAAACAAATCACTTACTTTTGTTACAATGTTCATCATGTTAAAAAAAAAAAAAAAAAAAGTCAAGCCGAGACCGGTTTGGCTCAATGGATAGAGTGTCGGCTTGGGGACTGAAGGGTCCCAGGTTCGATTCTGGTCAAGGGCATGTACCTTGGTTGCGGGCATATCCCCAGTAGGGGGTGTGCAAGAAGCAGCTGATTGATGACTCTCTCTCATCAAGGTTTCTAACTCTCTGTCTCCCTCCCTCTCTGTACAAAATCAATAAAATATATTTTTTTAAAAAAGTCAACATGACAAAAATAATAATGATCATTAAAACGAGAATGATCATCATAATGACAACTAGAGACTTGATGCACAAAATTCATGCAAGGGGCTCCACCCTCACAGCCGTGGCTTTGTCCAGGTCATTCAGATGGTAGTTCTGCTATTCGGTCTTATTAGCATATTAGCTCTTTATTATATAGGAAAATGATCAAAATACCAACTATTTCTTCTCCTCCTCTTACCACCACTTCCACTGTTAGTAGACACTGTGCTCACTATGTATATGCATTATTCTTTACTCAACAATCCTATGAGACAAATGCATTATCCCTGTTTTACAGCTATGGAAGTTGAGGATTAGAAAGTTAAGTCACATAGCTATTAAGTGAGGGAGCCAGGATTTGAACCCTGGAGGTTTGCCTCCAGGACCCACAGGCATGCACTACCGGCCCAGGTATTAAGACCACACCCACGGAATGTCCACAGGTCCTCCAAGAGCACAGGCTGCAAGCAGGGCTACTCCAGGTGTGGCCTAGAGACCAATGTCATCGGTCAACTGTGGTGAGACGAGTAGAGAAATTAAGAATAAGCATTTAGACGCCATTACAGAGATAATGGTCATGGCACCGCAGCCCATGAACATTTTCCCAATAACCAGCTGTGTTATATTTTACAAGAGATGGGGGTAGGGAACACGTGGCCTTCACCCAGATCGTTTGAGAAGCACTGCTGTAGAGTGTAGTAAAAAAAAAAAAAATATATATATATATATATATATATATATATACACACACACACACACACACACACACACACACACACATTTACATTTTACCATCCTTCTTTCTTTAAGGTGATTATGTACAAATCAAAATAAGATGATCCACACCAGCCTCTGATGATCCAGTGTCTCTGGTCGGGGTGAGTTGGGGTGCACTCACTCTGGTAACTGTGCTGGAATGCAGACACCTGCTCTTAGTCCTCTCGCTGTGGCTCACTCGAGACATCCTCACTTTGGCTCCGAAGGGCCACTGGTGAAATCTATGCTCTGCTCCAGAATCCTCTCTCAGTGTAGACAATGTCTCCTGCCTATTCTCCTCTCACTCATTCCTCCACTGAAACATTTATGCCATCAGATTTTACTGATCTCTTCACGGGTCCATGTCCCTCCACCAGCCATGAACACGGAGATCTTACCTCAGTCAACTTCCTATCCCCAGCACAGAACAGGAGCCTCGTCAGTAATCAGCTGGTTGAATTAACTGACTCATGGCTTCCCCCTGAGGTCCTCCTCCCTTGGGACATTGCAAATGTGAAAAATTGTTGTGAAATTTTAGGTTTGCAACCAAATGACCTCAGTTGAGCCTGCAAACGTTCGTTGCTAAAAGATTTAAGGGAAATATTGCATGCAATTTACACAAGACCTGGTAGTAGGTAAAAGAGAATCTTACGTATGTCATTTCACAACAGACTTGTGAAAATAAGCCCGCCAGTCATGCTCCCAACAGGAAGCCTGCCAGGCATATCCCAGCACTTGAGCTGCCCTGCGAGGCACTGACAGAACCAAGGGCTGTGCTTGGCCTCCCCTCCAGATCTGCACAGAGTCCTGGTAGGGGGGAGGGGGGGTGTGCATGTGCCATTTTTCTACCATATGTGGAGATTTAAAGAAGATGATTTAAAGTATCTATTTTTACAACCTGCACAAGTTACTATTAAACAGGCCATTAATAGTTGTCTGTAATCTTACTTCCTAATTTGTATATGTTCGCCCTCCCTACCTCGGTCAATGAGAATGGATTTGCCGGGGTTTTTTTGTTTATTACGAAGTAGGATCCTCTGGGCTCCAGTTTTCACTGGAAGTCTAGGTTAACACTGTTTTCCCCTAAGACACTTGGCCAAATCCCTCTAAACATATTTTCCTATTTCTGGAATGCAATGTAGGAGGACAAAGATCTAATTAAGAACCTTGGTCATCCTTTGCTTATTCCCTTTCTATAATTTTTGAGGGAGATGTTTTGTTTTGATTGTTTTTTTTTTTGTTTTGTTTTGTTTCTTGGCTCAAAAAAGAACCAAATGTCACCAAAATCTTTTAGATCTTTACAAATGGGAACTTCCAGAGTCTCCTCTGTGGCCTGTAGCTCACTCCTCTTCTACGTCCTCTCAAAATCAATTTGTGTCGTTAACATTCCCGTATCTAAAACTCATTTCCATCATACTGCCCCTCCCCCAAGTTGGCCTGGGGTTACTCTCAAACTCGATGTGATTTTGACCACATATGCACGTGCATGCGCGCGCGCGCACACACACACACACACACACACACTTCAAATTAAAATTCAAGGTCAAGTTGGGGAGCTGCTTGGGTCAGAAATGACCTTGTAAATCCAAGAAGCAATAGCTAAGGGTCGCCTTCATCCGATGTCTAATACCAGTAAGGACCCCTTAGGAGAAGAAGGTGTAATGCATTTTAAGGTACTACTGCTTATAAATCTGAAGTTTTAAGAGAAATTGGCTGAATTTAAGAAGATTTTCTTTTCGAAGAATGGAAATCTGCCAATAACTTAAAACTACAATAATACATTTCAGAACTTTTAAAATACGGAGAGGCACCTAGGGAAAACAAGTAGAAATGTGAAGAATTTTCAAAGTCACACACATAGCTGAAGATAATACCTTCAGCAGGACCAAGTTTCCTGACACCCAAATTAGCATCTTCTCCACATACAGAACATGGTCAAGCATCAGATTAATGTCTCCAAAGCTGAAAGATACCTTTGCATAGCATCTCAATAGCCAATAGCAAGAAGCCAGACCCAGCAGAGACCTCCGTGACAGGGAGGATGTCCCAAAGCCAGGTGTGGAGGCCACGTTCAAACTCACCTTTCAGAGACTTCAAGTGCTGAACGGCCATTCTTAAAACAGTCAGCTTGTCCAGCTTCCGTGCCACGGGCTTGCACTGGGGGATCATCGCAGACAGTTCTTCAATCAGGTTGTTCATTTTATCTCTCCTCCGCTTTTCAGTTTGGCTGTGAGCTTCTCTAAGAAGGAAAAGAACCTCCTTTACATTTTACATTCAGCAGCCCCACGGTGACCCAGGAGCGCGAGCCGGAGCCTGCGTGGAGGCAGCAAGTCCACACTGTTCATCCCACCCACGGCCCTGCAGGTGCTGCCGGGGAAGGAGGAGCTGCTGGGAACGGGAAGCACACATGAAATTCACCGCGCTCTCCCCCCTCAGCCACTGCCCTTGCTCCTTCCTTACCCTACTTATATCCTGACACCTTCAAGAACTGAGACATTTGTCTGAGAGGCAGGATGAGTGGTATGCTTGCTCCCCTCCAGTTTTTGGGTTTGTTTTTTTTAAATATATTTTATTGATTTTTTACAGAGAGAAAGAGAGATGGAGAGAGGGATAGAGAGTTAGAAACATCGATCAGCTGCCTCTTGCACACCCCCCTGCCCGCAACCAAGGTACATGCCCTTGACTGAAATCGAACCTGGGACCTTTCAGTCCGCAGGCTGATGCTCTATCCACTGAGCCAACCCGGTTTCGGCTTCCCTCCAGTCTTAAAGGAAGATGGGTTGCCTCCTATTCAAAGCTCACTCCTCTGTGATATTCCCTTAGGCCAGTGGTCGGCAACCTGCGGCTCCTGAGCCACATGCGGCTCTTTGGTCCCTTAAGTGTGGCTTTTCCACAAAATACCACGGCCTGGGAGAATCTACTTGGAAGAAGTGGCGTTAGAAGTTTAAAAAAAATTGGCTCTCAAAAGAAATTTCAATCGTTGTACTGTTGATATTTGGCTCTGTTGACTAATGAGTTTGCTGACCACTGGCTTAGGCCGTTATCAGCATCGTAAGTACCCTCATTCTCTTCCATAGCTCTTTCTTGGGGTCTATAATGTGCTCCAATCTCTGCCCTCTGCACACACCCTCCCCCAGTTGCAGGGGTGTTTCCTTGCCACGGTCTTCTTCTCAGCCAGCTTCATAAAGGTGCTCAGTCTCCACTCAATCTCTCATTTCCCAGGCACTTCTCCAACTATTAAAAGTGAACCTTCCATAATCTCCGCTCCACTGAAACTATTCTAGCAAGGGAAGATTCCTTGGGCCACCCTTATCTTGTGCGATCTCTTGAACTTGTCACTGCTGACATTCAGCATTCTTCGCCTGGCTTAGTGGCCTCTCCAGCACCTCCATCCTCCCTGCTCAGCTCGGTCCCTTCGTCTCTCTGCTCCACACATTCGTCTATCTTTAAACCCTGGTTTCTCCAAAGATTTCCTGCTTGGCACCACTTTTCTCACCCTATAGCTTTACCCTAAGAGATCTCACTCCCTCATAACTACTCATAAGCTACTTACTTTTAAATGTTTATTTGTTACCCAGTTCCTGACTTTTTAAAAATGTATCTTAATTATTAAAAGTTATACAGATGAACTTTTTCCCTCATTGATTCCTTCTAGCCTACCCTCTCCCTTCATCCCACATGTCATGCATATCATATATACATATATACATACACACACACACACACACACACACACATATATATATATATATATATATATATATATATATATATATATCCATCCCTAATATGCAAATAGACCGAACGGCAGAACCACCAAACAACTAAACAACCAGCCGCTATGATGTGCACTAACCACCAGGGGGCGCACACAGAACATGGTGGGCGTTGGCCACGGCAGGATGGTGGAGCAGGTAAGTTCGGGCACCAGACCAGGACGCTGGTTGCTATCATTAGGGAGAGCCTCTGGTGGTTACTGAAAATTCTTTGCTCCCACATGTGCACCACGATCCCACCTGGCACTTACACCTGCTGCAGACACTAGTCCCACTGACACCCACTGGTGGCACTGGAAATGCTGCTAGCACCCGCTGCTGGTGCCCAGTGCCAGCCCCAATCGCTCAGGGCTTTCAGCAGGTGCAAGCAATGGCTGCCAGCCAAGTTGCCCCTCAGGGCTTCTTCACCTCCCCCTGCTCCTGAGGGGCAATCAGGGCTGGCAGCCACCTCTCACACTGGCAGCCAGCGCTAGAGTCTCCACTCACACCCACTGCCAGCACCTGGCACCAGTTCCGATCACTTGGCGCCATCAGCGGCTTCGAGCTATGGCTGCCTGCCCCAATCACCCCTGAGAGCTTCTCCACCTTTCCCTACTTTGGTTAATCTCTTCCCACCCATTCACCCACCTCCTGCCTTCTCTCTGAGATTCATCAGTTTATTTTGTTTAGATTCCACATATGAGTGAGATCATGTGGTACTTGACTTTCTCTGACTTATTTTGCTTGGTATAATACTCTCCAGGTCCCTCTGTGCTGCCTCAAATGGTAAAATTCCTTTTTTACTGCTGCATATATTCCATGGTGTAAATGTACCACAGCTTTTTTATCCACTCACCTACTGATGGACACTTATGATAGCTCATGGCACTAACCCAGAAAGCCTTTTCAACTCCTGTTCCTTCTTCTAGTGTTTTCCCTTTCTAGTCTATCCTGCCCACTACTTCCCGAATTATTACTTCTAAACAAATCAAACCAGCTAATCCCATTGCATAAAACTGCCATAATGCATTTCTCTACTGCCCAAGGATGGCCAAATTCCCAAACGACACCCCCAATTTCTCCATCCTCTGCTTCATCCTTTCAAGTCATTTCACCTCTCCCTGTCTTTTCCCTACAGCTCCAAATGTCATACAGCAGCATGCCCAACGACCTGCAGTCCTCAAACATACCGCCTCCCCTCATGTCTTCTCTATACCTTGCTTTTTCCTAGGCTTAGAAAGTCTTTCCCTTCTATATCCCTGGGTAAAAGCTACTCCTTTTTCAAAGCCCAGCTCAGGTAGCCTTCTGGGAAGTGTTCTTTGACTACTGTACAATTTATCACTTCCCTCTCAGCTACCTCAGTGTTTTGTTCTTTTGTTTTTTTTACAGAGAGGAAGGGAGAGGGATAGAGAGCTAGAAACATCGATGAAAGAAAAACATTGATCAGCTGCCTCCTGCACACCCCCCACTGGGGATGTGCCTGCAACCAACATACATGCCCTTGACCGGAATCGAACCTGGGACCCTTCAGCCTGCAGGCAGACGCTCTATCCACTGAGCTAAACCAGTTTTAGCTACCTCAGTACTTTTTATGCCACTACTATATGCATCAAATCTAAGCCACAATCAATTGTAAGATGCACTAATATTTAATGTATTACAAGGAGACAGAGAAATGCTGCCAATTTAACAGGAAAATACCAATGATGATAAGACATTTTTCGCAGATTATAAAAGGTAGGGGGAACTGTACATCCTAGATTTCACTAATTAGGCTATTTTATTCTTCATATTTAACTGTAAACATCTGTCTGTTTCTCCTCCAACACTCAGACTACGAGTTGTATGTAAAGTTTAGTGGAAACAACCTAATGGCAAAGAAGATAGGTAAGTAGGAGACCTGCCTTGATCTATTTTTATAGGAACTTTAAAATGCATAAAAAAAACTGTAATTTTTCTATATGGAAGTGGGGAGAAGCACTGAAGGAGACAGATGGAGCTAACCTCCTCCACCTCCCCCCAACCATTCATTCTTGGGCAATGCCACTCCTGGAACAAAATATGTACTTTTGGGTAAACGGGATGGAATGTGAATTATATGTGTGTTTGCATACAATTTAGTTATCTACTCATACTTTGGCTTATTCATGAGAAATTTTTAGTTAAAATTCTATGATTAAAAGAATGTGATAGTTACCCTCTTGCTAGAATGGTCACCTCTTCTACCAGTATTTCCCATCAGAACAGCAGTAACAGTGAGAGATGCCTGATTCCAGGAGTGTACAGCAAAGGAAGGATGTTATGCTCTCTCTCAGGGAGGGTTTTGAGGGAGGTGAGAACAAGGCCACTGAAGAGAGCAATGAAAGATAATGGTGAAAGCTAAGAAACTCAGAGAAAGGCGAAATAGCCAGTTTTTTAGTAAGGTAGGTAGATTAGTTGGGGATTTTATTAAAGAAAGGCATATGGCCAAAACCGGTTTGGCTCAGTGGATAGAGCGTTGCTCTGTGGACTGAAAGGTCCCAGGTTCGATTCTGGTCAAGGGCATATACATTGATTGCGGGCACATCCCTTGTGCGGGCTGTGCAGGAGGCAGCTGGTCGATGTTTCTTTCTCATCATCGTTTCTGGCTCTCTATCCCTCTCCCTTCCTCTCTGTAAAAAAATCAATAAAACATATTAAAATAAAATAAAATAAAGTAAAATAAAATAAAATAAAATAAAATAAAATAAAATAAAATAAAATTACTGCCGAAACCAGTTTGGCTCAGTGGATAAAGCGACCGAAAGGTCCCAGGTTCGATTCCGGTCAAGGGCATATACATTGATTGCGAGCATGTACATTGACTGCGGGCACATCCCTTGTGCGGGGTGTGCAGGAGGCAGCTGGTCGATGTTTCTCTCTCATCATCGTTTCTGGCTCTCTATCCCTCTCCCTTCCTCTCTGTGAAAAATCAATAAAATATATTTTTTTAAAAAGAAGAAAGGCATATGTATCCAGAGGCTAGTTTCTGCTTAATAATTTATCAGGGCTCTGGTTCTTAATCCTGTCTACTGTTATTGCCATTCTGAATCATGTCAGTGTTTGGGAGAATTATATCAATAAAACAGAAACAATGGAGAAAAGGCAAAGCTGAGATCTGGCCATGCTGCCACATATAGAAAAAAAAATGTTGATGTTGAAACAATTGACAAAAATTTCATGATGATAGATTCCTAATCAGATGTGTATTGTAATTACGATTTGTTTACAGCAAGAATCAGTTTTCTCCAGTGCTGAAAAATACTAGTTCTTAATAAACAGCTACTCTAAAAAAATTCAAAGACACGTAAGCCAAAATGTTATTCAAACAGAAAAGAAAGGTAAGAGGTTGCTGATAATCACTACCTCTTACAGAATAAGGTGAGAAAACCCTAATATTTTATGAATCCATTCTCCTGACATCACCTTCGGTTTTGGCTACAGGTGTGCCTGGGTGGACCATCTATACAGTTTAATGCCCCTGAAGGGCTTCATTTTAACTTGTTGACCATCTTCCATTCTATAAAAAGCAGGATACAATTTCAAACTCCATGAAACAGCTTTTCAGTTATTCTTGAGGAATAAAGAGGAGATTAAGTCCAATCAACCTAATTTCCTATTAAGTGTTTAGTAACAGATACTATCATAAGCTCCTAATGACCTGAAATGATTTTCACTGTTATGTGAGCTGCTCTATGAAAGCCAAGAAGCACATCTTCTCTGTCAGGGTCACAACTATGTTAACTGACAACAAAAACTGGTGCCCTAGTTAAAAAATTATCCCATGCCAATATATTAAGAATATTATTTTATAGAAATAAAGTTATTCTTTTTAAACCAATGGATGGCTTAACCAAAAATTTTATAGTAGCTGCATTAGAAGAGCCTGAAAATGCATTGAAAGCCTCAGACCTTTAATCAAAAGGAATTTGTTTTGCCTAAAAATTCATCTGAATAAGAAATATTGAAAACTAAAAAACTTTGATCACTTGCCAATAATATTATCACATTAATATATTATGCTAGGAAATATACTATATGTACATATATGTGTATAAATATTTATATCTAAATATGCATACATGTGTTTGTATTAATTTAGAAATTTAGTCACCAGACCACTACCAAAGTGAAATACACTAAGGGTGATAGAATACTTCCCACATTAACAAATTATTTCCAAATGTGTTGTTTTTCTGAAGGGGCATTTGAAAATTCAGGAAAAGCACCCATAATCTCATCTGGAAATAATCACAGTTAATATTAATGGGTCTCCTTCCAATCTCTTTTTAAACATTTATTTAAATACATTAAAAAAAAAAAAAAGAAAAAAAAGAATGGCCCAAACTGGTTTGGCTCAGTGGATAGAGCATTGGCCTACGGACTGAAGGATCCCAGGTTCGATTCCGGTCAAGGGCATTGTATCTGGATTGTGGGCACATCCCCAGAGGTGTGCAGGAGGCAGTTGATCGATGATTCTCTCTCATTGATGTTTCTAACTCTATCTCTATCCCTTCCTCTCGGTAGAAAATCAATATAAATTTTCTTAAAGAGAAGAAGAATGCAAGCTTCCCTGAAAACTATTTCGATTGCATTTTTAATAAAATGGAGGCCTGCTCCCTGAACCAACCTCCGACAATGAAATTGAAGGCAAATACAATCAAAACGTTCTCCACATTTGCCACTTTTCCTACCTTCTTTTTGAAACTTTCTTCCTTTGGTTTCTGAGATACCACTCCCACTGTAGGACCAGGTCTTCTCCCATTTTGGGTAAGATTCCCCTTCTTTCTTTGCTGTATTTAGGCTCGGTACCAGAGTATACACTAGTATCCTCAGCCCCCGAGAGGCTCTGCCCGTGCCAATCACCACACCTGCTTTCTGTGCATTCGTGGTGTCTGACTCTCCCAACCGCAACCCTCATATCCAACCGTCTACTTGAAGATCTCATAAATGTTTTATTATCATTGTGTCCAAAACGGAATTCTTCGTCTTTCCCTCCGCCTCATGGAATGATACCATCATCCATCCGTCCAAGTCAGAAAACTCAAAGACACTTCTTATTTTCCTGCTCTCCCTAACAATCATAATATCTAAAAAGATTCCATCTTTAAAATGTGTCATAATATGGCCCTTTCTGTCCAGGCCCTCCCTGTCCAGGGCCACGCTCTCAATACCTAATTCCTAGTAAAAGTTTCTCAGCTGTTTCTTCTACCTGCTGGGTTTTCCTCCTTTAGCCCATCCTCCATGCTGTGTCCAGTGATCTTTTGAAAATGGATCACTTACTAGGATAGCTCTTTGTTTTTTTAATGGAAAGTAACAAGTGTCAGCAAGAATGTGGAGAAAGGGGATCTTTGTACATCGCTGGTGGGAATGTAAAATGGTGTAGCCACTGTGGGAAACAGTGTGGTGGTTTCTCAAGCACTAACTATAAAATTACCATACAACCCAGAGTTCTACTCCTTGGTATGTACCCAAAAGAATTAAAAGCAGATACTTGTACACCAATGTTCTTGAAAGCATTGTTCACAATAGTGAAAAGGTGGAAACAACCCCAATGTCCATCATCAGATGAATGGATAAACGAAATGTGATATATATGCTAACAATATAATATTATTCAACCATTAAAAAGAAATAAATTTGAAAACATTAGGCTAAGTGAAATAAGTCAGTCACAAAGAGACAATACTGTATAATTCTACTTATATGAAATATCTAGAATGGGCAAATTCATAGAGCTGGAAAGTAGGCTAGAGATTACCAGGGACTGGAAGAAAGGGGGCATGGAGAATTATTATTTAAATAGTGCAGGAAATTTGTGCATGGGCTGTGTGTCCCTCAGCCCAGCCTGCACCTCTCTATTCTGGGACCCCTCGAGGGATGTCTGACTGCCTGTTTAGGCCTGATCCAGGTAGGTCATCCCTCTCACAATCGGGGACTGCTGGCTCCCAACTGCTTGCTTGCCTGCCTTCCTGATTGCTCCTAACCGCTTCTGCCTGCCAACCTGATTATCCCCTAACCACTCCCTGCCAGCCTATTTGCCCCTAACTGCCCTCCCCTGCAGGCCTAGTTACCTCTAACTGCCCTCCCCTGCAAGCCTGATCACCCCTAACTGCCCACCCCGCAGACCTAGTCCTCCCCAACTGCTCTCCCCTGCAGGCCTGGGTCCCCCCCAACTGCCCTTCCCTGAAGGCCCGGTTGCTCCCAATTTCCCTCCTCTGCTGTCCCAGTACACCTAACTGCCCTCCCCTGTGGGCTTAATTGTCTACAACTGCCCTCCCTTGCAAGGCCAGACCCCTCCCAATTTCCCTCCCCTCCTGGCCTGATTGCCCACAACTTCCCTTTCTTGCAGACTTGGACCCTCCCAACTGCCCTCCCCTGCTGGCCATCTTGTGGCGGCCATCTTGTGTCCACATAGGGGCAGACATCTTGTGTGTTGGACTGATGGTCAATATGCATATTATCCTTTTATTAGATAGGATTAGATAGGATAGAGGCCTGGTGCATGAGTGGGGGGCTGGCTGGTTTGCCCTGAAGGGTATCCTGGATCAGGGTGGGGGTTCCCTTGGGGATTGGGGCGGTCTGGATGAGGGGCCTGTCATGGTTTGCAGGCCAGCCACACCCCCCAGTGACCCAAGCTGAGATTCTACTATCTGGGATTCATTTATTTTCTATAATTGAAATTTTGTAGCCTTGAGTAGAACCAAGCCTCCTGCTTTCTCCGCGGCTGCCTCCATTTTTGTTGGGATTTATCTTCTATAATTAAAACTTTGTAGCCTTAAGTGGAGGCCTGGGACCACCAGGGCAGACAGAAAGCTTGGCTTCCTCCATTGCCAGGGGCAACCCAAGCCTCCTGCTCTCTCCATGGCTGCAGCCATCTTGATTGGGTCAATTTGCATACTCACTCCTGATTGGCTGGTGGGTGTGGCTTGTGAGTGTGGCAGAGGTGTGGTCTATTTGCATATTACTCTTGTATTAGATAGGAAGGGTACAGAGCTTCAGACTGAGATGATGAAAAAGTTTTAGAAATAGACAATGCTGACAGTTGAACATTAAGTGGGACTATTGCAACTGAATTGTACACTAAATGATTAGATGATAAATTTTAGGTTAAATATTTTACTACAATAAATTTTACTGCAGTAAAAAAGTTTTTAAAGTACAAAGGCAAGAAATTTTAACAAGTGTAATTGGAAGAAAAGTTCTCATGTTTAAAAATCCTTACATTTTTCTTAACCACATTCGAGACAATTTTGAGATTCTTTTGTTCAATGACCTTCAGGATCTAATCCACATTTATCCCTCAAGTCATAGCTCACCCTCCTCCACGTGCACCCTCTGCTCTATGTGACAACCACTTGTTTCCAGATCAGCAGTGTGCTTTCCAAGCATCTTCTCTACTCCTGCTCCGAATCGCTTATTCCCATTATTCATTTAAAATGTAGTGTATCTCAACATCTCTAGAAAGCTGTCCTTCATTCCTGATCCCAGTATTATTTAAATCCCCAACTTTCTTTGTAGCCATAATACCTAGGATCTCTAGTATAGAGGTTCTTATGATGCGCAATAATTATTTGTACATTTTCCATTTGTACAAGTTTCTGGGGTCTTATCTATATCTCTCCCGCCTAGTCTACTAGATGTCACATAATAGGTACTCAATAAATGCTTAATGACTACATTCCAGGGAATCTTCATCAATAACCCCTTCAAAGAACCAATTTTCCATTCAAAACCAACAGAGAAGAAAGGATAAACATTCTTATACATTCTTCTTTGTTTACAAATATCTAATATTCTGAGGCTCCCTCGACGAAATCAATTTCATATCTATTTACTGGTTTTCATGCCCTGAGTCTAGGAAGCAAATTAGGAAGACAAGTCTTTCGCTGTGGCCATAAACATTAAACAAATTAACCTTTGGTTGTTTTCTTCCCGACTCCACTTGTCCCTCCTGAATATCTAATAACCTTCAGATCTGGACTGAAAAGTGGGAGTTCAGTCAATGACAGAGGTGGCAGTTGGATGGATAAATAATTGCCCCTATCCAAATGCTACCACATCTAATAAATGAAATTAATGTTTTTAAAAAGTAATCTTGTTCTTTTTTGTCCCTAGAGTCAAAGATTGAATGGGGTTAAAGGAACAAAGCCACTTACTGGGATAGATCCAAATCACTTTCTTTTCGTTTTCTTGGGAACTCTCTCACGTGTGGGCTGAAGGATCCAACCGTTATTGGCTTTGCCCATGAGATCATATGATTGGAAACCATCGGAGCAATGAACTGGCTGTCTTCTAGCCATACATTACCTATGAGAGGTAAAAAGATAAAACACAATCCTATGTAATAAAAGGCTAATATGCAAATAGATTGAACAGCAGAATGACTGGTTGCTATGATGCGCACTGACCACCAGAGGGCAGACGCTCAACGCAGGAGCTGCCCCCTGGTGGTCAGTGCGCTCCCACAGGGGGAGTGCCACTTAGAGAGAAGCCGGACCCATGGCTGGCGAGCACAGGGGCAGTGGCGGGAGCCTCTCCCGCCTTTGTGGCAGCACTAAGGATGTCCGACTGCGGACTTATGCCTGCTCTCCTCCCCCTCCCCCCTCCCCCGGACATTCCCCAAGGGCTCCCAGACTGTGAGAAGGTGCAGGCCGGGCTGAGAGACACTCCCCCCCCCACCCCACCCCCCCACACACACACAAATTTTGTGCACCGGGCCACTACTAAAATATAAAAAGAAAAAATTTTAAACGTTAACTTTTACTTTATATATATCCATATCACACATTTTAAATGTTTTTTTTTTCTGTCTTAAAAATATCAACTAAACAACATAGCATAGAAAGAATAACTGTGTACATGTAAATATTAGAAATGTATTTGTTAGTCCAGAGTTTTAAATTTATTTTCTCAATCTAATTGCAAAAAAAAAAAAAGAATATTGAAGAAAACATGGAAAACACAAAGAGAGTAGAAAGGAAGGGGGAATACCAAATTTCACAAACCAATGTTACTATTTAGAGATTTCCTTTTAGAATACCCCTATAGTTATCATTAAAGTAATTGAAAGCATCATGTAAACTGTTTTATTTATTCATCATTGTGATAACTTTACATTGTTGTTATAAATTCTTTATAAAATTATTGTAATGGCTGCATAATACACCATCATGTAGATAGCTTCTTAACTACTCTGCTGCTGTGAGAATGTGTGTTTTTTTATTTTTCACCATCACAAATATGTATTGGGGCACATAAAGCTTTTAATCTACTGGTTATTTCTTTTGAAAAGCTTCCCAGAAATGACTTGACAAGGTCAAGGGACAAGAATATTTTAAACCCTAAATCAATAAATATGACAGTAAAACCCTTTTTGTCTAAAGTGTGCTTTTGTCTAAAGTGTGTTTTCTTACATGTTTTATAAAATATAAAAATCAGAATCACTAGCTAAAAATAACCTATAGCCCAAATGTGAGCATCCTTCACATATTAAAATGCATATAACAAGTTTAAACTCATTTGTATCCTGAATTATATGTTGAAAACATATCAGCAATATTTTATAAGGAGAGTGTAACCAATCTATAACAGTGGGAGAGTTTTAATATATCCCTATCAGTTTGAGCATTCAAGAATAATGACATAAAAGATCTAATCCACACAATGAGCAAGCTTGATATAATAAATACAAAGAGGCCATTCTAAATCCCATGTTGTTTTAGAGTACCCATAAAGCATTTATAAAAATTGACAGTATACTGGACCAAAACAAAATAAATCTCAACAATTTCAAAAGATTGATATTATAAATAAAACATTTTCTGACTACAGTGTAATTATCAGATAGCAGTAATAAGTAGAAAAAAACTTACATCATATAAAATTAAGAAATACATAATTAACTCTTGGGACCAGAAAGAATTCCATGTAAAATTGTAAAATGTTTTGAACTAAATAATAAAAAATCATACATGAAAACATGTAGAGACAGTGAAAGCACTATTTAGAAGGAAATTTTAACCCTATTTTTTTTTTAAAGAAAGGCTAAAATGTAATGAGCTAATAACTTCAGAAATTAGAAATAGATTAGTAAATTAAATTTAAAGAACTAGGAGAAAGGAAATTAAAATAACACCAGAAATAAATAGAAATACAAGCAAGTATGTGTCAAAATAGCTAAACGTATTCTTCCAAAGATAGGAAAATCTAATAACTCCATGGCAAGATTTTTCAAGAGAAAATGAGGGTATAAACAAATAAAAATAGAAATAAGCATGGAGTCATAATTTTAGATGACTTAGAAATTTGAAAAAAAATAAAATCTCATGAACAACATTATTCTAAAGGTTTGAAAATAAATTTTAAAAAATTGCCAGAGAATTTTAACTAACAAAACTGAAGCAAAAAGAAATAAAAACTTGCTCTGGCCTGGTAGCTCAGTTGGTTAGAGCCGTGGTTGGCAAACTGCGGCTCGCGAGCCACATGCAGCTCTTTGGCCCCTTGAGTGTGGCTCTTCCACAAAATACCACGGCTTCGGCGAGTCTATTTTGAAGAAGTGGTGTTAGAAGAAGTTTAAGTTTAAAAATTTGGCTCTCAAAAGAAATTTTAATCATTGTACTGTTGATATTTGGCTCTGTTGACTAATGAGTTTGCCCACCACTGGGTTAGAGCATCATCCCGATAGCCAAGGTTATGGGTTCAATCTCCAGTCCCAACCAATGAATGCATCGATAAATGGAACAACAAATCGATGTGTCTTTCTCTTTCCTCTCTTAATCTCCTCTCCCAACCCCTAACACTCTTTTTTACAAAGCTTATATAATTTTGATATTAAAATCTATCTCATTTATGAACAGATTCAAAAATCTTAACAAAATATCAGCAAACAAAATTCATAAATATGTAAGAACAATAACCCATCACGACCAAGATAGCTATATCCCAGGAATGCAAGCCTGGTTTAATATTAGTAAATGTTGATCAAAAGACAACATAAAGAGAATGAAACTACAAGTCATATATTTTGATAAACATGTAAACAGCAAAAGCTAATATCTAGAGCACATAAACAACGCCTTTAATATAATGAACAACCAATAGAAAACTGAATAAAAGATTTTAATGGGCACTCCAAAAAAGAAATTCTAACTATCAATACACAAATGAAAATATCTCCAATCTCATTACGAATTCAGGAAGACCCAAAGGAATAGTGGTACTACTACATACCCATCTGATCGAGGGCTACAATTGAAGAATGTTGATAACAAATGTGAGGATGTGGAGTAACGGGGAAATCACGCTATGTTGGTGGGACTGTAAACTGCTCCCACCACCTTGGAAACTGATTTTTGCATTTCCTAAGAAGGGTGAACACATGCACACAACATTTTTCAGCATTCCACTGCTAGGTACTTGGAGAAATCCTTAATATATCTTAGGAGAAGTGTGCAAGAAATGTATTAACAGCATTGCTTGTAACTGAACAACAGAAATTAAAACCTGAGAAAACTGGAAATTAATTTCCATCAACAGATGAATAAACTGTTTATTCACTGAACAGAATACTAACAGCAATAAAAATGAATGAAATACTGATATTAACACTGATGAATCCCAAAATAATGCCGGGGAGTAAGTCACAGCCAAAAACACAATATGTTTTTAAAAATGTTTAAGTTAAATTGGTAAAACTAATCAAAACTTTTTAAAGCAATATCTAAAGAGATTGCTACACTTTACAGAAAAGCAAGGGAACAGTTAACACAAACATCAGAATTTATTCTGGGAGAAGAAATTTGATCAGTGAGGGACACATAGGGAATTTATAAGGCATTCATGTTCTACTTCTTAGCCTGGCTATAAATTCCTGGATAGTTGCTGGGGAAAAAATAATTGTTGGCCAATGATTGTTGTTCACTTGGGAATTAAGTTTCTATTAAGTAATGATATCCCAAAACTTCTAAATGGGACCTATTTGCAATTACCAAATACCACATGACATTAATTATGTTTCAACTCCTAGACTTCATTCTATCTCACAAAAGAAATACAAGCAAGTATAGGTCAAAAAAGTTTGAAGGCAGAACACCTTCTGTCTCCACAGAAAAATGGGAATTTCTTATTGATAGCCAATCAATAGGAAAAATTCACTAACACTGAACCATAGTACACTCTAGCATATAAAATATCAAATCCCTCCCTCCCATCCTTCCACCCTCAAACACATATTCATGCAAGGACACACTTTCCCCCACAGAAGTTCAAAATAGAAATAAAATATTTTGTTTTCTGCCTCTCATTTTAGGGTGCATGATCTTCACAAGTTTCAATCCTACTTCCTTATTAACCTTTAAAATAAGAAATGGACTATCTGTAAACAAACAGAATAAAATAATATTCTTCTTTTCACAAAATCAAAATCTGAAGCTCTATGGGTCTTTATATTCCCTAATGGGTGGAGTACAGCCCCATAACTAGTCTTGTTCTGTGAAGTCTGGTTACATCAGTAAAAGCGTATTCAAAACAGAGTGTTTTCTGTAAAACAAAGGAGAAATATGGGCTTAGTGAGACCAATTAGTTCTGGATTAAAGGGCCTGTTCTTTGGAAACAATCCAACCTTCATGGAGTGGATTTTTATTTGTTAGAAGGTGATTCCTAATTTAAAAAGTAAAGATTTTAGTTTTGGTTAATTGTCTTGTTGGTTGAATTGCAACACCCACAAAAAGATTTGTTGAAATCCTAATCCGTGGTATCTATAAAAAGTAATCTTATTTGGAAATATAGTATTCTCATATATAATTATTACAAAATAAGATCATCTTGGATTTAAAGTGGCCCTCTGTTCTAAGATTAGTTTCCTCAAAAAAAAGAAAAAAGAAAAAAGAAAAAAGAATGAGCCCAGCCAGAGTCACTCTGGTTGAGCGTTGACTCCGTCAGGGCAAATGCCTAGGTTGTGGACTCAATCCTCAGTAGGGGGGTGCAGGAGGCAGCCAATAGATTTCTCTTTTATTAATGTTTCTATCTCTCCCTCCCCTTCCTCTCTCTCTAAAATCAATAAAAATATTTTTAAAGATTCAGTATGAAATAAAAATGTGAAATCATTGCTCAAAAATTAACAATTTCAAGATGGAAACAGTAGGCTATTAAACCAAGCTTTAGTCCCTATAATCATAGGATCCTGTGCAAATGCACAAATTGTGTGCCCATGAAGCAAGGCCTACCTTAAAGATACAGGTAATGAGAAAGTGTTCACAATCAACAATCTTATCAGAAAACCCTACAGTAAAGCCTACCCTACACCTTGC